ACTGAGTACAAACATCCACTAACATCTTGTTATTCAAATGATAAGCATTATCAAAAATGATATTTTTTGGAAGGCCATATCGACATATTATCTTTCTTTTTATAAATTTGCATACCACAACCCTTGTTAAATTAGCATAAGAAGCTATTTCGACCTATTTTGTGAAACAGTCAATCATTACAAAGATGAATTGATGTCAATTTAAAGCTTTTAGAGTGATGGGTCCAATTACATCCATCCTCTATATGAAAAATGACCATGGAGGTGCAAAAACATGTAAAAGGATTGAAGGAGTATGAATTTTATCTACATAAATTTGGTATTTTTGGCATTTTTTAGCATAGTTGATATAGTCACTCTCCATAATCAACCAATAATAACATGTCCTCATGATTTGTCTAGCCGTCATGTGGCCATTTACATATGCTCCATAAGTTCCTTTATGCACTTATTGCAATATTTTCTTGGCTTCAATAACATTCATGCATCTCAACAACATTTGATATCAGCTTTTTTTGTACAAAATTTCTCCATCAAGGAAAAATCCCATAGCTAATCTTTTGATAATTCATTTCTCATTTTCTAATGCATGTTTTGGGTATTGTTGGTACTTGACATATTGCATTATGTCATGGTACCAAGGTAGGCCATCAACTTTTTCTTCAACAGATGGATGATATGTTGGTAATCCTTGAACATTTAATTAGATAGGTTGGATTTTCACCTTATCACCCACTTTAAACATTGCAGCCAATATAGCCAGAACATCAACTATTTGATTATCTTTTCAAGGTATGTGATAGAATTGGACCTTTTCAAACTGTTTGACCTAATCTACCACATATTTTTAGTATCATAACAACTTTGAATCTCTTATTTCCTATTCACCACGTAGTTGATAAATTATCAAAGCCAAGTCGTCATAGAATTCTAACACTCTAATTTTCTATTCAATTGCCATTTGCAGGCCCATTATGCATGCTTCGCATTCTGTCACATTGTTGGTGCAATTAAAATCCAACCTTACAATGTTTGGATAACAATTTCCATCAAGGGATATCAAAATTGCTTCAATCCATGCCCGAAATCATTCGAAGCTCCATCAAAGCACATTTTCCATGGCTTTTTGATTGGTTCCTTTTCTTTTACTTAAGATATGGTCATTACATTTTCAATAGGAAAGTCCAATTTCATAGGCTCATAATTATCAATTGCACGCTCTGTAGTGAATTCAACTATCATATTTCTTTTAATTATCTTTTGTGACACATACACAATATCATATTCAGAGAGCATGACTTGTCATTTTGCTAATTTTTCTTATAATGATGGTTTTTCAAAAATATATTTAAGAGGATCCAACCTTGCTATCGACTAAGTAATATGGTATAGCATATATTGCCAAAGTCTATGAGTTATCTAGGCCAATGCGCATCACATTTTTTCTAATTGAGAATACTTAGACTCATATTTAGTGAACTTCTTACTTACGTAATAAATAGCTTGCTCTTTCTTGGTCGTTTCATCTTGTTGTCCCAACATATAGCCCATATAATGGTTATTTGCTAAACCTTGAGGTTGGAGATTGTTGGTTGGGTGTAAACATATGCATTCCATTTGTTATAATGTTTTTAACATGCCATGTTGAATGGATAATTTAAGTTTCTAGATTAGGGCATTGGTTTAATATTATTGGCTTATATTTGTTTTATATCAATTGACAACTTATATGAATACACATATATTGAATACGATTATTTGAAAAAAGTATATTTATATGGCTATGTTATCAATTTTAAATTCGGATGTGTGGTCAATTTATTGAAATACTACAATGTTTGTAATGTAAATTTTAAAATGTAATTCGTAGTATCACATATATAAACCAAAAGTTTTTTGGGCATAAACTTATAAGTGATTTCCCCTCCGATTGTTTTGGAGGGATTATTCAAGGTGTTTTTGTCTAGAAAATGCCTTGAATAATCCCTTACAAAAAATTGAATAGGGGTATTCAAGGTGTATCTAGCCAAAAACACCTTCAATAATCCCCTTCCATTGATTTGAGAGGATTATTGAAAGTGTTTTTGATCAGAAAATACCTTGAATAATCCCTTACAAATAATTTCTTAAAAAACCTAAAAAAAGTTAAAGGGAGGGATCGAACCTACAATATTATAATTAACAACCGTACACTCTAACCGACTGAGCTACTCAAATTTTTAAAAGTATTATTTAAGAGGTGATTATTGAATGGTATTATTTTAGGCAAACTATATTATTTTAGGCCAACTATCCCTTCAATAATCCTTTTAAATTTTGACAAGGAGATTATTGAAAGCGTTTTTGATCAAAAATGACTTCAATAATCCCTTTTAATTTTTTAAGGGAATTATTGAAAGAGCCTTTCGCAGAAAATTCCTTCAATAATTGCCTTCATTTTTTATGAGAGGATAATTCAAGGCGTTATCTGCCAAAATGCCTTCAATAATCCCCTATCCATTTTTTATGAGGGAACTATTCAAGGTATTTTCTGTCAAAAATGCATTCAATAATCACTCTAATTTTTTAGATAGGATTATTTAAGGCGTTTTAGTTGATAACGCTAGTAATTTCTATCTTTAGTGGCGTTTATAAGTACAAATGTCGCTATTTGAATATTTAGTAATATTTTGATAAAAAAACACCTTAAGTTTTATAAACACGTAGAAGCTAGCGACGTTTTTAAATGAAATGTCGCTATAAAACTATCACTAATTTTCTATTTTCTTGTAATGATTAGTGACAAGTTTTTAGATGTTTTGTCCAACATAACAAATGTATAAATTATTATTCATTTTAATTTATCACATATGGGGATATACATTTGTTGTATAATGTCTTATGATAGTCAAGTGAGAGCTTTCACACAAGAAAGTTTTAAACATGTTATGATATCTTAATTTATTTTTAAAAAATTGAGAGTTATTTAAATATAATTTAATTTTGACAAATATTTATTTTAGTTGTGTTACTTTTAATTAAAATATTAGTTTGATTATCTTAGTTAATATTATCAAAATATTATCAAGCTTAGCAGTTATCAATTTTAAATGGTATATTGTTATCATTTGTTAATAATATGTTTTTTTTTTTTAAATTGAATATTCTCTTCTAAGGAACTCACACATAAAACAGAGAATATTATTTTACACTTATTACACGTGTGAGAATTTTAATGAATGAATTTGATGCAACTATGTAAACTATTTGTTTTCTATTTATTGGTTCAATTCATATTTTGATAATCTTCCTCAAATTTTGTTAATTTACTTTTGATAAAGAACAATAATTCTACAATTTTCTTATTTCACTTATCTTGTTTTGAATAATATATTGACTTAAATCTTGAAAGTTATAAAAAAAAAATAGTACAAAAATTTTAACTTTGATATACTTTATCAAGTCAAAAACTTTTCGTTAAAGGAAGTGAAAATAAGTTAGAGTTTTTCTCCATATATTTCCAAATTGGTAAGAAACAAAATTTAGGATTAATTACCAAGTAGCCCCTATATTATATATTTTTTATTAATTTGGTACCTAAAGAAATAAAATTTAATTTGATATCCAAAATTTCATTCTGTCAAACATTTTAATATTTCAGTCTAACATTGTTAGTTAATTTGTTTATGTAATATTAATATCCAATTAAATCATAACACATTATTCAAAAATAAAAAATTTTCCACATAAGCATTTAAATAAAAAATTCAAAAATTTTTAAAAAATATATTTTTGAATTCAAAATTAAAAAAAAAAAAAAAGAGGGAAAGAATGGAGAGAGAGAGAAAGAAAGAGAGAGCAAAAATAAAATTTTGTAGACATAGCAATAGTTGATGTCATGATTATTGGACCTTTATGACATATGGCTTAATTTTATTAAACATTCATTGCAAGTAAGTCATTTAACACAATAATAGTGCAAAGTACCAAAATACTTAATAAAATGAAAGTTGGAATATCAAAATAAGAATTTTATATTTTTAGGTATCAAACTAATAAAAGATATATAGCAATGGAGGTATTTTACATATTAACCCAAAATTTTATAAGACCTCTAGAAATATATGATGCTTAGTATCTCAGCCCACTTTTTTTTTTTTTTTTGGGAGGGGGGGGGGGAGCTATTCTACTGAAATTTTCACATGACTATAATTATACAATGTATATTATAAGAAAGAAACCTGACTCAAAATTGACTCCCAAGTCTTTTGAAGGCAGCAGCATGTCTGTCAAGGCAGATGATGAGCCCTTGGGACAGCACCATGTTGCAAAAATGATTGCATATATATTCCAAGAGAAATGAATTAATTCATTTTCTTTAATCCCTTAATTTATGGCAAATGCATTAGGGTATCCCGACAGAGCACGAATATTCTAATGCTAAAAGCTAACAAAAGGAGGTTCATGAATAAGGTTAGGATAACATCCATGCTAACTTCATCTTAGATTTCCTATCTCTCAACTAAAACTTTCTGGTCCATCTTTGTACATTTCTATGCAAAAGCTGTTTCAGGAAAGATTCTGTGTTTTATCAGTAATGAGAAGTCAGTCAAGTCTTCTTTGTCTTCAATCATTTACGAACTTTGCCAAAAAAAATAATAAAATAATCAGGGAGTGATGAGGTCATGATTAACGGAATCAAATTCAAGTTGGCCACTCTCTCCTACCTGGCCAACATGCTATATCTCTTCTTTGTCTCAACAACAAAATTCAAATTATTTTTAAACCAATAAGAAAGTCAGATTGAGGTAGACCAGATGCTTAAGGGACTGCATGCAACTCACAAGGCTCCCACCGCAATTAATAATTCATAAAAATTATTTATAATCACAACTGCATGTGCTTTTGAGGCGGTGTGCTGCAAAAAAGGTTTATCCCATGCTTGTATATAAATATGAGTACCTTTGCATTGTGATCGTATCTCAACCAGGGAAAAAGGTGGAAGAAGGAGATATAAAACAATGGGAAAAGAGAGTATTGTTTCTGACAAAATGAAGCTCCTTCTATCATTGGTTGCACTGCATTTCTGCTTTGCGGGATTCCATATTGTCTCCAGGGTTGCACTAAACATAGGTGTAAGCAAAGTAGTTTACCCAGTTTACAGGAGCACTATTGCCTTGCTTTTGTTGAGTCCCTTTGCTTATTTCTTGGAAAAGTGAGTCCTTCTTGCTTGGGAAGAGAAAATGAATAAAATGCCCTTACTTTTGAGTCTCTTATTTCCCTTTCTTAATTTTCCCCTATTAATTTCAAGTATAGAAGGAGGGTTGTCCTTCTCGTTCTTGAACTGGTTGACATTCCAGTATTTTAATGTTCGTTGATTAATTTCATGAAGGAAAGACCACCCCTTACTTTTCCTTTGCTTTTTCAGTTCTTCCTTCTAGCATTACGGGGGTAAGATGAAACATGAGCTATCATGAGCTGTTGATATAAATTCTTTTTCCTCTTATTATGAGCTTATATTTTCTATGTTTCTCAGAATTACTGCAAACCAGGGATTTTACCTTTTGGGTTTGTATCGTGCATATCCAACTTTTGCTTCAGCAATGCAAAACTCAGTTCCTGCAATCACTTTTCTCATGGCTTCTGCGCTAAGGTAAATGGTTTCATTAACAATAGTAATCTGTTTTGAAAGGATTTTTTTTTTTTCACTTGATCCCCTCATCACACTCTTACTCTTGTGCAGACTTGAGGAGATCAATATTGCTAGAAGAGATGGATTGGCAAAAGTTTTGGGAACTATAGCTAGTGTAGGAGGTGCCACTACAATCACCCTCTACAAAGGTCCTCTTCTGTTGCACCAATCAAAGACAACACAAGGATATTCCATGGAAGAAGAGATGTCCTCAAAGAAAATGCAGAATTGGACGTGGGGATGCATTTATCTCCTTGGACACTGCTTATCATGGGCTGGTTGGTTGGTTTTTCAGGTTAGCCCCTAACTATCTGAACCACATTTATATTTGCTGCTTAACTGCAATACACACACACACATATATATGAATGTATGTAAATGATTGTGCTGTGCCCGTAGCAAATATGCCAAGAATAGTGTAAAATCATTTTAACTCTGTATACTTGATTGATTATACTTCTACAGTTTTTCCCTTGTTTGTTTCTTAAGGTGTATCATCAAAAAATTTGCAGGCTCCTGTACTTAAGAAGTATCCAGCTAAACTCACACTCACTTCATTTACATGCTTCTTCGGACTGACCCAGTTCCTGGTTATAGCAGCGTTTGTGGAAACAGACTTCAACCATTGGAAAATCCAATCAATTGAAGAGCTTTTCACTATCCTATATGCTGTAATAACTTCTGTTTCAGTGTTACAGATTTTCACTTCTTGGTGTTCTATTTAAAAGATTATAGTGGATGTAAATGTCGTGTTTCACATAATGTTGATCGTGTCTGTTTCAGGGTGTTGTGGCATCTGGTATTGTGTTTTCTCTTCGGACATGGTGCATTCACAAAGGCGGCCCCGTTTTTGTAGCCGTCTTCCAGCCCCTGCAGACACTTTTAGTTGCTATCATGGCATTCATAGTTCTTGGCGACCAATTATACTCTGGACGGTATGAAAAAATTCTACCAAAAGGGAACTATCTACGCATTGATCATGAAATGTTAAGCTATGGATGAATTTTACCTATACTTTCTAAACTTTTACTTAAGTTTTTTTGACCCTTCTCACTTTCTACTTTTTTTTTTTTGTTTTTTTCTGTGTATGTGCTTGTAGTGTAATTGGTGCAGTTCTCATAATATTAGGTCTTTATTTAGTACTGTGGGGTAAAACTGAGGAGAAAAATGAAGCCAAGGATGAAGACACATTAAAGAAGCATCTACTTGATGATTCTGAAGTAGGGATATAGAAGAGGGTGCTGATGAATCAAAAACAACATGACGTATTTACAGATTGATTTACAGGCAAAAGACTAAAGGTTAATGGCAAATCATTGAGAGGATGCACCAGTCTTACTGGTCTGAGGTTTCATCTTAACATGTAATTAATCAAAGGGGGTTTTTCTTTCCTGAATTTGCTTGAATATTGTCAGCTAGGTTGGCTTTAGCGTGCAAAATGATCGAGCCTATTTAATGGCTTTTATATTATTGCTGTATGGTATGGTTGGTCAGCAAAACATGCTGGAGCCCTTTGGCCTTGAGGCTTTGTATATTGTAAACTGCTATTCATTCAGCCTTTAAATATTCTGTAAAGTGAAATCCATAAGCAACTCTTAAAGTTTTGTTTTCTAGTTAAAATTCATTTTCCAGTGTGAACCTATTAGAATATGCATGCTCCCATGGAGGGCACTACGTATTGATGTATTAATCCATCCAAGTTTCAGGCCCCCAGTTATTTAAAACATATTTTTCACAGATGATATCAGACTCAAGATTATAATTAAATCTGATAATTTGTGTATCCATATTTTTTTATTTCACACTTAATGTAAAATACGAAAATTTTTATGTTACAATTCATTTTAATGCGTCAAACAAAAAATAATATTTTTTTTTGCCAAACACATTTTTTTACTAAAATTTTAAACCATATCTTATTAGGTATCATATTTAACATTATCAAATCTAAATACAGTCACAATTAAGTGGTAACAACAGAGGCTAAAATTAACCAGTTCATATAGTTTCACTCAAAAAGTGATTTGTTCCCTTCAAGCTCTCGACGGCTGGCAAGTAATGATTTTGAAGATCCTCAAATGTACATGTACTTATGAAGGATTAAGGTAGACTCTTGTACAAATCAATACCGAAAAGGATCGTGTTTTACTAGGAATTAGGGGACCCTTTTGTCAAACACAAATTGGATGCAGTGAGTTCTACAAATTTGAACAAATAGGATGTCAACCAGGACGTAGAACAGTATTTGCTGAAATCTCTTGAATCTACGAAAAAAAAAAGAACCAAGCTTTTTAAACATACTTGCTTGATATTACTACTTCAACCCCTTTCAAACTATCAACATTTCCATGTTACAAATGGATGAAGAAAGGAAAAAGTATATAAGAAATAGTCTTTCTCCATGTTGACAACCCTTATAAATGTGGGCATGAGTGCTTCACATCATCCCTTAAAAAGCTGTCCTCCCATTTGCTTTAGGCCATATCCTTATTATTACTTACAAATGGAAGAAGAGAAACTACTGCATTCACTAAGGCCATATTTGTTCTTTTTGAGAATCAAAACATCACCGAAAACATGAAAGAAAAAAGTTAGTTGATCAATCATTTCATGTATAATAACCCACGACTTCAGATGCCAAAAGGTTAAAAGAGAAGATAATTAGATAAGTGCTTTCAATTGAGAATCCTGCAACGATCAAACTTTCTAGTCATCCTAGAAATGCTAAAATAGTAAAATCCAAAAGAATCACAATCCATTTCTTGTAATTCACCATAGAAAGCTGCATAAGAAATAATTCGAATGTGAGAGTGCACGTCCAAACATTAAAAAACTAAATGCATGCAAAATCGACTTTGCCAGAATTTATAATTAGATGCAAAATACAAGGCCCAGAAAGCATACAAAGAAACTTGACTCATCTCAAAATCAAAGTCAAAGAAGTATAACAAAACTAATTCCAGTCACCTAAAACATGGAAGCCGTGCTCATCTTTCCCATGTCAAATACATTCTCTATAGAGAATTTGAAGAAACTTGACTCATTTCAAACTCAATTAAGCCTTATTATCAAACTAATTCCAGCACCTAAACAATGAAGCCCAGGCAATGCCCAGAGCCCTTCCCATGGTTTCCAGTCAGTAGGTGAAAAACAGATACACCAAAAGGAGGGTAGAACCAGTTCAATAATGCATTAATATCTCCGGCCATACATAGTTTATTTGATGAACTTTTAGTGTACAATTCTATACTTTTAATACTAATCCACAATTTCGCCACCTAATCAAAATCTTTTAAATCTTTATTTAATTAAAAATCATTTAAATCCTATATGTTAATTTTAGTGAGATGACATATTCTGAATTTAAATGGACTATACATTGCCAGAAGACAATAATTCCATTTAAAAGACCAAAGAACATATCTAAACTGCTAGAAGCTAGTAATCTTCAAAACTAGAGCTAGGCATAACTTGATGCATCAGACACAACTTAAATTACAAACTGCATCGCTCAAGATGCCAGCATGCAGCATGAAACGATAGAAAAACTGGATATGTTTGTTGGTTCAACTTGTAGGAAGAATTAGTCTTGCAATTTACTATAAATATTTATATATGTGTTTCAACTGAAAAGGAAAAATTCCTACAGGAGTGGATTGACATTTGGGAAGATTTTGCCTAAACAACCTGATTTGGGCTTCATCTACTTTAGTGCAATTCAGTGCAACTAAAACTAATTAAACCATCACATCTAGTATTCCAGTCAAAACATGTTGCAATTAAGTCAATGTGATAACATTAATTCTCATGCTAGAGACGTGCTTGAATGGTGAGTGGTGCATGCTGCCTGGGTATTGTTTCATGTTCATCAAAAGACAGAAGATGATCATTCTTGGAAAAAAAAAACAAATAAAAAAATAAAAGATGACAGGAAAATAAGAATTATCAGTCTGAATTCAATCAAACATATGAAGACAAGCAAAACTTCAAGAAAGAGCTACCATAAAATATCCTTGTTGAAAGCAAATATTTGGCAGATTGCCAAATCAGAATTTTAAGCATAGTCAATTCTAGAAAGAAACAAAACCACTACTTCAGATAACACACAGATACGAAAGATGACTAGAAAAACACATTTCACCTCCAGTGCACAAAACTACCTCACGTTAACAATATCATCAATCTTCAAAATCAACCTCACACACTCTGTTGCCAATGTAATTGCACTTGTGCTTACAAGCAGAGGTTGCACCACATTCTCCTCCAAGATATTAGTAATTTGTCCCTTCCTCACATTGATCCCAGCATTGATCTCCCCTTGGGCATGCCGATTCCTCAGCTCAGTCACAATAGCAATAGGGTTCAACCCAGCATTCTCAGCCAACGTGTAAGGAATAACTTCAAGTGCCTCAGCAAATGACCTCACACAATACCCCTCCATCCCATGCAACACCTTAGACCAAGCACCAAGCTGCCTTGACAACTCAATCTCCGGAGCACCACCACCTGCAATCAAAAACCTCTTATTCACCAAACACCTAACCACACACAAAGCATCATGTAAACTCCTCTCAGCTTCATCAATAACCAATTGATTTGAACCACGAACCAAAACAGTAGTAGTCCTTCCCATATCCTTAATCCCAGTAACCTTAACAATCTTGCCATCCCCAAGGGAAACCTCCTCAACAAGATCCGCATGCCCCAACTTCTCCGCTCGAAAATGCTCAATATTAGCAATAGGCAAACAATTCAAAGTCTTGGTAATAAACTCAATCTCATCCCTCTCAACATCCTTAACAACCATAATCTTTGCTTTGGCCAAATAATGCAATGACAAATCTGTAACAGCATCCCTCAAAATACTCTTTTGAATCAACAAAACATTACAACCCGTTGCCTTAATCTTTTTAATCATACCCAAAATATAATTCCTTTCCTCTTTCAATATCCTATCCATTTGAGTATAATCCGAAACTACAATACTCTGCTCAATATCTGTTTTAGGAGGGGAAATCTGAAATTGAATTACCGCAATTTTCGCATTCTCCATTCGGGTCGGTCCTCCAGCAGCATGGCTCGCTTTCTTATCAAAAACCAACCCTTTAACTAACTCCGTATCGTCCACGGTCCCGCCTAGCTTTTTCACAATCTTGATGTCTCTCAAATCAACCATATCCGGCTTTTCAGGATCAACGACAAAGAGAACAGAATCAACCGCTATCGGCGCCAGAAGTGTTGAGTATTGACTAACAACCTTGCTGTTCAACGAAGTGCTAGCGGATTTGACTAAGGATTCCCGGTCGGAAAGCTCGAGAGGAACAGCCATGGCGGTGAGGACATCAACGGCTTTAATCGAAGCCTTGTGGAGAGAATCCGAGATAACAGTTGGGTGGATACCATGAGTAAGAAGGGATAGGCATTGCTTAAGGAGAGCACCAGCGATGACGACGACCGTGGTGGTGCCGTCACCGGCGGCGGCGTCTTGCGATTTAGATAGGTCGACAAGCATTTTAGCGGCGGGTTGGAGGACTTCCATTTTGTTTAAGATGGTGGCGCCGTCATTGGTTATGATGACCTCGCCGTTGGCGCTTGAGATCATTTTGTCCATGCCTTTGGGTCCTAAGCTGGTTCGGACGGCGTCGGCCACGGCTCGGGCCGCGTTGATGTTAGCTTGGCGGATGTCTTCTTTGCGCTTGTTATCCACGTAGGACTCTGTCTTGGAAGAGCGCGGCTGTGCTGCTGTTACGGCTGCCATTTCTGAGTTTCTTTTTGGGGGGTGTTGGAAATGATTCAGTGGATCGGAGGTGCAGGTAAACCCTAAAAACAGAGGGAGATGAAAAAGAGGATTCTGGAAGAGCTGGATGGAGAGAAACTGGTTAACGGTGTGAAAATGGGAGGAGGGGCGGGGGGGCAAAGAACTAGGGATTCATTTTTGGAGTTTAGAGGGGGTGTTTGTTTGGTGGCACAAGTGTTTAGAGTTGCTGTGTGTGTTTCTAGGGCTTTCTGTCAGCGTAATCCAAACGAAACCTTAGGTTACCAATTTTACGCTGCGTAGTCATTTGGTTTAGAAAAATTCACAAAATTTTTAAAATTTTTTAATCTTGAATATTTAATTTTTACGTTTAGATCAAAAATCTTTAATAATATCCAAAATTTTGAAATAAAAAACTCACCTTTTTATATAATATTTTAAAATTCTCAAAAAAAATTATTTTATTTTCAATTTTAATTTAAATAAAAAATTATAAAATAATTATTACCTTTTCAAAAAATATAT